AAAAAAAAAAAAAGGAATAATACAACAATATTACAATATCAGTTTAGATAATATTAGGTGATAAACTCAATTAAAGGTAAAATTATGTGATAAATTTACTTGTATCTCTCATTTAATGTCAATCAATACCACTTAAACTTATATTATAACACCTAAAATGCTAAATAGCATTTCTCAAAAAGATAAAAATATTCTGATGTTACAAAGATGACTAACCTCAATCACAACTGGTCATGGTTCCCCACATGATATATGTATAATTTATTTTGATCATTTTGTTCTTAGTTCCTTTATTAACTTCAATTTTTTTCCAACTAAATTGTGTCCTTCAGGCTTTAAAGCGAAAAAAATGTTTTGAAAACAATGAGTTTGAGTATTGTGAGAAGACAGCAAGCCCTTCATACAATGATGCCGCTAGCAGTCCCTTCCTTACACCCATATCGGGAAAAGGAGGAAGGATAACCAGCAGGTCAAAGGTCACAAAGAACAATAGATCTGCACCTCCAACTCCTGCCTCTAGTGTTGGTGAGATACATTCTTATAGATTCTTCAGAGCTGATTGAATGTTAAACTTACCAGTAGCAGTGGATCATTTTCTTGATTGAAAATGCTTTAGAACAGTTACAAGTTCATTTTTTTTAGCCCAAACAACTGCAGTTGATCATTGGATTATTTTCTGCTTTCAGGTTTCCTTTGTATAGCAACATATAACATGATGACTGTTTAAATTTGCAGATACTCCCTTAGCCCTTACTCCTGCTGGCAGCTGCCGCTATGATAATTCCTTGAGTAATTTTGTTACCTTGTATTTGAGATTGGAATATCAACCTTTAGTTGCAAAAGTGCTCAAGTGATAAATATATGTTATGCTTCTCAGGTCTTCTAACAAAGAAATTCATCAACTTGATAAAGTATGCAGAAGATGGTATTCTCGATTTAAACAAAGCTGCAGACACTTTGAAGGTGATTTCTCTGGTAGATTAGTTGTCCTTTCAGTTTCAGAATTCATTGTAGTTGTTATTGTGCAGGTGCAGAAGAGACGAATATATGACATAACAAATGTCCTCGAAGGAATTGGTCTTATTGAAAAGAAGCTCAAGAACAGAATTCACTGGAAGTAAGTAATAAAACTTGGTATAATGCTTTTACGTTTTACATGAGAATATCATTTATCAATAAAGGTAGTGTTGGTCGAAGCTTGAAACTTAATGAAGATTCTTATAATTACTTAATAGGGGACTTGATCCTTCAAGACCTGGACAAGTGGACAATGATAGTACTCTTTTGCAGGTATGTGGAAGAAGAAAGACTAAACCTCGAGTGTTTATGTATTTTGTTCCATATATTGTCCATTGAGTAGAATTAAACTTGGACTTTCCCAAGTATTCATGCATCTTGATATTTTCTTTTACTTGTACAACATTAAGCCTATGTTTAGCCCTCATTTTTTTCAAAACTCATTTTCAACCACACATTCTCTCATAAAATAATTTTACATACAAATCCAAAACTTTTCCTTATTTTTTAACACACATTCTCCAACAATATACGATTCCACAAAATGCATTTTGGCCCAAAAATGGGGCTCAAACAGGCAGTAAGTTAAACCTTATTTCCAATAAAGTCGGGCCAGCTATAAATTTGCACGTAAAAAGTAAAATTAAATTTGTTTACACACTAATCATTAGCTTTGTGATTCCTTCTTGTCTGTTTACAGGCAGAAATTGAGAACCTTTATGTCGAAGAAAGAGGATTGGACGAGCGAACAAGGTTAAGGATTTATTATGTTGTTAAACAATATATGCTGCTTTGTTCAAATTATTGTGTGTGTTTATCTTTCAAGCTGTTGCAGAAAAATGCAAGAAAAATTGCGAGATTTGAGCCAAGATGAAAATAATCAAAGGTAAAAATCTTCCTAGCGTTATTTGAACAGAGTAACACAAATTTCCCTTTCACTAATACACTTTTGAATGGTGACTGTTTTAGATGGCTTTTTGTGACTGAAGATGATATCAAAGGATTGCCTTGTTTCAAGGTCCATTATCTTGTGACTTGTCCTTTTGTAATATGCAGCACCATTCTGTATTATCATGATAACTGATAGAAGAGGAGATGGATTTTTCTGTTTGTGAAAAATGCATTTTTAATCCAATATATCCAGATTTCTATAGTGATTAACCTTTCAGGCTTTGATTCTGACAGGATGAAACCCTGATTGCAATTAAAGCTCCACATGGGACCACCCTTGAAGTTCCAGATCCTGATGAGGTAAAGCTAGAAAATGGAAAGCTTATGTGAAGCTTTACAGTGGATGTTTCTGATTGTGAAGAATTTTTTTGTTAACATATAGGCCATTGATTACCCACAAAGGAGATACAGAATGATACTTAGAAGCACATTGGGTCCTATTGATGTTTATCTTGTTAGGTACTAGTACAATTTCCTTTTTGATGCTCCTGGCCCTTGACATTTTAATCACCCTCCCTTATTGTTCATATCTTTTGTTTTAGTCAATTCTTTTTTTTTTCTTATTGGAAATCTCTTCCACCAAAACTTCAGTCAATTTGAGGAGAAGTTTGAAGAGTTGAATGATGATGAACCATCTACAAGCTGGCCTCTTGGTTCAAGTGAAAATCCCACAACACAAGGAGCCTTGTTGGCAAGCAGTGGGAGGGATATTGAAGCTCAAGCACAAGATAACCATAGAATAAGCTCTGATTTTGGTGCTTTACAGGAGTGTGCTGGAGGAATGACAAAGATTCTCCCTTCAAATATTGATGTAAGTGGTTTTTTGAAATGTAAATGTTTAACTTGGGTGGAAATGTATAATTTATATAAAAGTGAACTTACGAATAATTTTAAATTTGTAAATGGATACACTCTGCTAGAAATGAATAAGATAAAAATGAGAACCAAAACGATCCATTTAGTCGATTGTGAGTGCGAGTAGAGATGTAAACCAAAATGAATATGGCCCATTCTGAGTGAAAGTAGGGATTGACCTGACCAAGTGGAGATAAATGTAACATGTAGTTGATTCCAAATAATTTTTGGAATAAGCTTAACTTGTTGCAACAATATGACCGAGATAAAATGCCTGACTCACTGCTCTTAATCTGTTAAAGGTTTTATTAATAATCTTGCTGATTTGTTGTGCAATTTCTCCAAATTTAACTAGACAAGTTTGATTTATATCTAAGAGTATCTTTATTCTATCTGAATGTACAACTTTTTCCGTCGCCACAGAATGATGCAGATTACTGGCTTCTATCAGAAACAGATGTTAGCATCACAGACATGTGGAAGACAGATTGTATCCTTCTTCGAATGCTTATCATAGTTTCAACACAATTCTTTCCTTTAAGTGCTAATTCCTTAACTTCAATTGTAGCAGGTGTAGGCTGGAATGAGATCGATATGCTTGATGACGAGTTTGGAATGGCTTCTATCGTCACATCAAGGCTACAGACTCCACCATCTGGTGTTGCTGACATGCCTAATGTTATTAATTTGCCACCTAGGTGATTTGGCTTCGTTTGATTGATCGGACAAGAATTGTCATGTCTAATCGAGAGTGTAAAAAACTCGTTGCCATTAGTTGTTGGTAGATTGCTGATTCATCTCGACAGTTGTTTGGACACATAATGCACGAGGCAATTAACTTTACACTAAAAAAGAAGGAAAAACGGGAGGACGAGGGAGTTGGAGCTATGATTCTTTGGTACATCTGAGCAACCTTCAGCAATTCGGGGGTAAATAAACTTCCAATTTTAGCAATTCTGTGTAGTGTTATGGATGCACATAAACCAGTGTGTCAAAGTTTGCTATCTGAATCTGTTTCAGAAGAGAATAGTGATAAATAGAAGAAAAATCAAAGAGAAAACGTCCATCTGACAACGCGTCAACACGAGGAGTATTATATTTCATTTACTAGAAATTTCAGATAGGAACTATAATAACTTCAATTACATCCTTAGCCTCTTGAATGAATGATTTGGATGTGAAGAGATCATGTTGTTCTCATCTTTGTGCAGTTCAATTGGGGTTTTATCTAACTTGAGGAATTCACAGAAAATTACTTGTTTAAATAAAATCATCATTCTTTACACACTTCATCAATAATAGACATTCTACTTTGACAAATACCTCTAAATTTCTTCTCTACAGTACTTCAAGCTAACACAAGCATACAGATAGAGCACATCTAGATACCCCCCGCCCCACCCCCACCCTACATATTCTTGGCATAATATCCTATTACTTGGGAGTTTTCTGACATGAAATATCTTATTTCTTCCAACACTTTGTTTGCGAAATCTGAGAAAGGGTCATTCGTAAAGAAACCATGTTGTTTTCCTTGGTATTCAACATATTTAATGTTCTTTCCTAATTCTTTAAGTCTCTTTGCATAGTCCTCAATTCTGTCCTTCATCACTTCACATTCTCCCGCCATCACCAATATTGGGTCAAGCATTATTGATTCAAGATTTGGGCTATAGGGCCCAAATGGGTTTGCCAGTGGATGGTCTGCAGTGTCTCCAGCTGGTACTGAGAGCCTCCAAAATCTGTTTATTGGGAGAAATTGAATGTTAACCACATTGATAGAAAGAAACCAAGATATATAATTGTATGATACATGGTATTGGATGGAATTATGATCAATATTTGAACAAAATTTTGACTTGTATTTGATGGTGTTCAATCCTTCGTTCAGACAATCGTGAGTAATCCTTTTGTGATAACTCTTTGATCGACCAATTTCGAGATTGAATGCAGAAAAATATTTATTTTTTTGAGAGACGATCGAGATGAGGGCACAAGGTTCAAAGAGCTCATAAATAGTGTGACGGTAATGTCTTGTCCATTCACCTGAGGTCTATCATGCTTTAATATACATATAAAACAGTATTTAATATTCATACTGATCATTTGCTAGGTAACCCTTATCCAAATATAGAGAAATGATCTAATGGGTATCGGTGCTTAGCTTATGTTAAGCACCGATGATATGTCACGATAATTAATTGGTGAATCATTAAATTCATGAGATTTACCATTAACTTATTCACCAATCAAATGGTGTACCATATTTTCGATACTTAATATAAGTTAAGCACCGACGACCATTAGATCATTTCCCTCCAAATATAATCCCATTACAAAATTCTATCTCCTCAGCATGTTTAATAAGCAATTAATTTTGCTTTTGACTTATGGCCAATATGGTACCAGAGTAGGGCCATCCACTATCTAATAATGGAAGAACATGAAATTATTTTTATTATAATGGGAAAATGTGTACTCCACATAGATTAGATGATTTTTGACCCCACAAGATCTACTAAAAGGGGGCAATACATGATCAACTGCCAATCCTAAACATTAATAATTGCTAATGTTAATTTGATAAAATCATAATTTTGAAGATTTTGGCAATTTGTTGACTCCCTAAATAATTTCCTTGATTGATATGATTCAAGTTGATCATTGAACTTTATTTTGTTTTGAATTAAATTTTGAACTTGAACTTTCATATGAACAATTTATTCCAATCATATTTGCTAATTTGATTAACGAAAAAGAAGACATCAAGTTTAACCATTTGGCAACTATATGTATAGATTGATCAACTTGTAACGAAAGTTTAAACTCAATCATCAAATTCGATAATTTCTACTACTAATTCAAAACAAAAGTAACTTCTTAATATCAAAAAGTCATTTCAAAGAGGTCTAACTATCGGAAAAAAATTAAGATATGTGCAAGGTGCAAATTTTTTTTACTTCCAAGTGATGTGTTTCAGACTAGACATAATTGAGCTGTACAATACAACTTTAATTCCACATTTTGTCCTTCAATTATATCTTATACTGTCAGTGCAATATACAAAATATATATTATTTTGTATACCATAAATGTTATTTAAATTATTGTTAGAATTGTGACAAGCACTGGTCCATAACATGGGTCCAAACAACTTTCCAAGGTATATTCCATGAAATCATAGGCCCCTCTCCTATGAGAAAGGGGTGGCTGCTAGGTAAGATAGAAAAGCCAATCTTAGGATTGTGGCTATTAGTGGATTCCTAGATATTCCTCAATTGTTAGACTAAGTCCATATTCCAAAAGGCCAACAATGTTAATCATATACAACCAACCACAAAGAGATAGATACAGGCATTGCATGTGTGCAATACATTTTCAACTCCCACGCTCGATCTCTTGTCTTAATCCCACTAAAACTTTTAGCAATCTGACCAATCTCTATCTTTATAATTTAAGTCATTTTCATTATAAAGAATCAAGATACAATTATTATTTTTGACTCTTTTAATGTACTATTTTTGAAAAATCAAATCACATTATTTTTTTATTATTGAGAAGATAATGTTATTTTCCCATCCCTTAATTTCTCTAAAACAATATGAAAACGAATGTTCCAGAAGTTTAACTGATACTATAGGTAACTTTGCCTAGAATAGTTTTCCTTCAGTTTACACAGGACAAATTTATGATGCATAAAAATTTGACCCAAAGATTTGGTTTTTAGCCTCGCAAAGAGGAGGTGAGACAAATTGAGCGATGTAGTTTACCTCAAATTTACCATGACCCAGATAATTAGAGTTTGTCGGATGTTATTGAAATGATAAAATCACTTATTTTGGATTTTGAGCATGGCGTCGAGAGTGCATTAAATATTTCTTAGTATTCCACCATCCCTTGCAACATCTCTAACCAACAGTGTAATTGACTTCCACCTTTTTGTTCAGTTGTGTGCCCTTACTGATGTAATTGCACTAGGGATGTCAATGAATAAAGTCGAGTCGAGCCGGCTATCGAGTAGAAACTCGAGATTCAAGTTTCGCTCAAAAAAGGTGCGGACTTTTTTCAGGCTCAACTCGAGTCGAGTTTTTGCTCAACCAAAAAATCTAGGATCGACTCGAACTTTCAGCTCAAGCCTTATCGACCCTTTTATTATTATTATTTAATTAACAAGCAGTAACATGTAGCCGCATGCTTGCAACTACTGCTACGTATTGTAGTAGGCAGTAGCGTGAGCTAAGCGCTGCAAGCAGTGCTATAGCAGGCTAGCTTTTTAAATTTTAATTTCTTTCTTTATTTATTATTATTATTTTTAAGGGTTCAGCACGTCACGGGCCGAAATGGCCCATGAGCCCATGACACAAGTTGACCCGTGTCACTTGACTAGGGTGATGACCCGACGAGCCATGTGAGTTGGCTCAAACTCAGGCCAACTCCTCAAAATGGGGTTTGGCCTGAGCCAACAAAGCATCGAGTGGGGCCGACTAAAGCTCTTTTTGAGTTGAACCACAAGCCGTCAAAGCTGACGAGCCAAATTGATATTCTTAAATTGCACTAAAATATCTTCAATTATGTGAAGGGTAATTTAGTCAATTGAACTTCCAAGTCAAGGGCATTAAAGGAAAGGAAAATAAATGGGGAAAGTAGCCATTTTTTAATGTCATAAAGTTATGTATACTAACAAGACTTTGAATTTTCAAAGAATCAACATTTGCGAATAATCAGATTTCCAGCAATTTCAGACAAGCGCTTACTTTGTCGTTGTTGTAATATTTCCTACCTATACAACGACGTATTTATGACTCGTAGTCGTCGATTATGGCACGATCTAAACATACATTTGACCGTGCAATCTTTAAAATACTTTATTCAAAAAGAACAGTATATACTGTCCCCCACAAAAAAACAAAAACAAAAACAAAAAAAGAAAAGAAAAAAACCTATAAGAGGCATGGTTAACCAAGGAAAACATGCCGTAAATAAGTAATTGATTCACAATAGTGTAATAATGTATTTTCGTCCATATGCAATTGTAGATGATTATCCAGATCAAATGCATGAAATCAAAAAGAAATATTTGTAGAATTTTGATCACGACTCTCATCCACATGCAATGCAAAATTTGGGGTTAAATAAAAGATGAAATTTAATGAATTATTTAATTTCACGTGTCAATTAATGTCACGTTAGTGTCACTTAAATTGTGCTCGCAACATCATTGAGGCTATATAACATTGCCTTTAGTTTCCTTACCTGTCAAGAATCTCCAGGTTCAAGTAGGGTTCCGGCGCCTCTACTTCCGATTTGGTTCTGTCAGTTCCACCAAAAAATGGCGCCATCAGCACATAACCCCGAACCCGGATCGGGTTCAACCCCGGGGAGCTGGGTCCAAGCTTCACCGCCAAATGGTGAGCTAGGTTCCCCCCTGAGGAGTCACCCACTATGAAAACCCGGTCAAAATCAACCCCATCTAACCATGGATCAGCACTGTTCGATAGAGCCTCAGTTTGTAGCCATTTCACTGCACTGAATGCGTCGTCCATGGCTGCCGGGAGGCGGTGCTCCGGCGCCAGGCGGTAGTCGGGGGAGATAACCACCGCGGGTAGCGCTGAAGAGAGCCGGAGGCAGCTGTTGTGAAAATTGGGCCATGTGCGTGAACCAAAACAGAAGCCTCCGCCGTGAAAAAAGTAGAGAATTGGGAGTTTGGCTGCTGCAACGGCGGAATTAGAAGCCGAGCGCGGCTTGTAGAGTCGGAGGTAAAGATTGTGTTTCTTGTCGAATAGACAGTCTTTCCAAATAGCAGAGCCATCGTCATGGACTTTAATGTGGAAATCTGTAACCTGTTAACGGTAAAATCTCACTTCGATTACTCAATCTATAAGATTTTGCAGAGCTCATCTTAACAAGATTAATGGATATTACCTCGGACCGGAAAATGGAGCCATCGCTGTAAACTTGGACTATACCTAGACAGTCTTCCACAAGATGAGCAAGTGAACCCATTTCTTTCTTTGTGTGTGTGAAGAGGTGAGTTTCTTCTACATAAATAGGCAGGAAATCAGGGGATATGCAAGAGATAAATAAATGTTTCAAGGCTATTTTTGTGATATAATACGCTAATGAAGACAAAAATTTGACGGTTTGTCGTCTTCTCGCGACATTTTAATTACTTTAAAGATCATTAACCTTTATTCATTATCAAATTTATATCCTTTAAGTTTATTATTTATCAGAAAATATTATCCTTAATCATGATTTTCATTCAAAAATATTGTTATCGTACTTTAAAATGGGCGACAAAATTTAGTCACATTTTGGCATTATTATTTGTTTTGATTAATTAAAAATTCAATGGGCAAATAAATCATTTTACTCTATCTTCAAGAAACAATTTATGTTAATTTGTAAATAAGATTACGATAAAAATGTTTGAGACATAAATGTGATAATGTATAATGATTATATACATTTCATATAAGTAGGCGACATATTGTCTCTAGTGACCTATGTATTTGCTAAACTTGAAATAATTTGAAAGTAACAATTAAATTTCAAATTTCGTGATTAACATAACTTATTTTCTTTTGACACGCCAGAAAGAAAACTCAGTATTCAACTTTTTCATGCGTACACAATATCGTATTAACATAACTCTTGTCTTTTAATGTATTATTATGAAAAAGTTTATTCTTTTTCAAACAAAAATGTAACCATAACTTTTCATTCTATTCTTTTAAGTAAATTGAAATATATAATATCGATTTCAATAACTAAAGTGAACAAAAATTTTGTTTTGGTTCTTTCTTGGGACCAAGCTTAAAAGTACACCGCTCTTTCAAAAGTTCATAACTTTTAGTAAGAATTTTGTGAAAATTTATTCGAATATACGAAATTTATTAGAATTTATAATATTTTAAAATTCATCAAATACCATCGTAACTATCATACTAAGAATTGTAATCAAATAGATTCACATTATGTTACCTAGCCAAACCCACCTCATGTAACAAAGCCGATCATCATTCTTTCTCCAATCCATCTTTCTAGTATATTAAATACATTTCCAAAAGAATAGGAAAAAAATATAAAAAATGTAAACTTCAATAATTCTGAAAAATATGAAAACATCTCCTTTGAGAAAAAAGAAAGAAAGAAAAAAAAAAAAAAAAAAAAAAAAAAAAAAAAAAAAAGAACGTATAATATAATGGGAATTGCAGTAGCTAAGTTGGAGGGCTATTTTACTTTCCGCAAGTTGAGAATGATTGCATGTTTCTTAAGCATCATTTGCAGTTAACATGGAATATACAACTTTTTTAACTTATTTTTCTTTTTTAATTCACCTCCATACTTTTCGGTTCAATGGAGCAAATATGCCAAAACATGGAGATAAAATTATGAGATATAAATATGATAAAAGGATAAATCTTTCATATTTTCATCTGCAGGCATTCAACTTTTTCATCAATTTCATGAAGAAAAATCATTTTATATTATCACTTTTGACCTATGCCTTGTTTGTCTTTCTCTTATTTTGTCCTAACTCCTATATTGTCCCTTTCTATAGGTTGACTTGACCCTTGTATTTTTCTTCATTTAGACTAGGCCAATAATTTTTACACTTATCTGCAACCTTTTCCCAAATCTTCCCTGGAGATTCTCTTTGTATGTTCCACATTCAATTCACATGTTGTTTCACATCACGGTTCGATTCGATAATACTGACCAACATTAACGACAGAAGAAGTATACAGTCTATTACTCCTTATTTTTACGAAACTCCCCAGGTTCAAGATTTTCTCAAAAACTAAGAAAACAATATACAGTAATTGCTAAAGACACGATTATATCTCACTGCATTCCAACAATATGAAATTTACACAAACGTAATTCTTCCGGCTGATGTTGTAATTTTCATGACAAAACAAACGTGTTTCAAAAGTATACATTAAACAGATGTCAAGAAGAATACATGCCGCCAAATAAAACAGTTTTCTATTATGTAATTCACGCGCAAACTACAAGGTTATGCCATATAATGTTCGGAGAATCTTCAGTAACTCGACTACTTGTAAATAGAGAGTAAAAGATCGGTTGTAGCGTCAATACGTACAGTACAAGTCTACTTAGAGACACACATGGGGTGGGATGAGCTTTCCTGGATTCATGATGTTGTTAGGATCTAAAGCATCTTTTATCCTTTCCATTGTCCTCAAATTCTCGATTCCTAGTTCTTCCTCAAGATACTGGAATATATAGAAAAAAGAATCAGAAAAAAGATAATCAATCATCTTCAAAGTGACACTAATTATTGAATTTCAATCATGTTAGTCGACATGAAATCACTCTTATGAACAAAACCTCTTTAGGCATGTCCAGAACATCTAACCCATCCTTCCATAAATGTCAAAAGATAGAGGGGCTTTGTATATCTGCTGTTGTCTTTTTAAAGTCAGTGTATCAACAGTACTAAATGTCTCAGTACATTTAATAATACCTTCATTTTCCCTGTGCCGACGCCATGTTCTCCCGTGCATGTTCCTTCTCAGCCATGGTATCAAAAGATTAGAAAACGTCAGAATGGAATATCTTTTTCTCAACACCATTTTCACACTATTTATAACACAATTCCACAACTTAAAACATGTACGTAAAAGCCAGTTCAGGAGTTGGAAGAGGAACTCAAGAATATAGTCCTATCATCAATTTTGGCGTTCAGATGTCAAAAACTGTTCTATGTGTCAAAAACTGTTCTATGTGTAATGAGTGACTCATTTTTTCCAGCTACCAGGTAAACCTTGAAGAATGGAAAAGATGCCACTAAATTTACTGTATAATCATGGATGTGACAAACTAATTCATCGTGAATGAACTGGTAAGCAACTGGGCAATCATTGAAAATTCCATTCTTCTTATCAAAAGGTTGACTGATTTATGCCATAAACTAACATAACCCATTGAGCATCAGAGAGATGGATATTCAAAAACTTCACCCAAGAGAGAAAATGTGAAACTAGTTTGCTACAGATGACAAAAGTGGGTTGTTTGCTAATGCAAACTGTAAGAATATTACATGCTACCAAGAGAAGCTAACATGCCTGCATACTGGTGTGCAAATGAAAGGCTGCAGATTAAGAGCAAGTCGGGTGGAAGTGACTCGTGACTCATATAGAGAGAGATGGTAAGGCATCCTAAAAACTGATAAGCTTGGCCTTCCATATTTAAGAATCCCTAAAAACTAAAAAGAAAGCCTAAATAAGGGGACTTCTAGTTCAGTAGCTTAGTGGCAGAATATTTGCATGCTTAGACTAGGCTCCACAAATGTAAGCTAACATAGAATAAATGTATGGAAGCTAGGAATAGGACCCAAATGTGTTTAGGGGAGTAGTATTCCTTTGTTTAAATTTCACAAGTCCTTTGTAGAATCCTTCTTAGGAGGTAAGGCCAAACATCCCCCTCCAGTACTTCATTTATATTAATATTGGGTAGCAAACAATGTCAAACCACACATTACACTATTGGACAGGAGCCTAAAAACTCCTAAACCCGCAGAAGTAGTTTAATTTTAAAAAATATTACATGCTGTTGTCTATGTAAGTGGATATTTAAGCTCATGTTTCCACATCATTAGTATATGATAACATGAATAATAAAGAACGGGGCAGTTTATGAGAAGACTTCATTAGTCTGAAGAAGGAATATTGAGAATAGAAATTTCAGGCCAAAAAAAAAAAAAAGAAAAAAAAGAAAAGAGTTTGCTTAAGCAGCTTGTGCAATACCTTCCATGGCTAAAGCTGTATGCACCATGAAGTGGTTTAATCTCTCAGCTTCCTTCCTTTGTTCCTCTTGGTTGGGATCAAATAGAATAAAAGTGTGGAAGTTTCCATCACCAGCATGAGCAACGACGGTGCTGTTAAAGCATATGTGATGTAAGACCATAAGAAAAGCAAGGCCTAGAAACGTGGTTTACTAACTCCCAATGGTTTCGTCTCTATGTATAAATACTATACCATACTAAAGATGAAGAACCCAGCTCTTGCTTGGATCTTGATATTAATTCTGCAAGGCGTGATAGCGGAACACACACATCCTGCGTGATAACAAAGTATATCAGATTTTTCAAGTTCAATGAGGTCCAGAAACCAAGTTATTATGGCTAGCTAAGAGCAAAAGAGATCCATGAATTATTTGAAATCTAAAATGCTAAGAAGCATGAAATAGCCAGATGCACAGATAAATCAAAGTGAGAAGGGGAAGAGAGAGATTACCAAAACTACCACATCCAAAACCTAAAACTTTCATGTTTCACCTAGACATGCACAATAATAGTTTTTAAACTGAAAATATGGAATGTCAATATAAAGAGAGAAATTCACCGTTATCATTGCTTCAGAATTTGGTACCATTGCAAAGCACGCCCAAAGTGCCTCCTTTCTTAGCTACATGTAAAACATTTGAAGAAATTAGCTAAAATAGAGAAAAAGAAAAGCACCATTACCATCTAAAATACAGAAAAATAAAAGTTAAGTCATTCGCACCATCTTTTATTCAAAGCTTCTTAGATCCCCTCAGGATCAAATCAAATTTCAAGAAGGAAACACAAAAAGTAAAAAGCATTTTGGCAGATGTAGAATACAAGATAAATTGATTGAGCAAGGAACAATCTTGTCCAAAAACTGGTAATTTGAATCTAAGTTGGGATCAAGGCTGTGGGCTGATTTTTCAAATGAATCTAACCTACATTTGCAACGAAATCCCTATATTGCATGTCTTCTTCATACTCGCCAAGATAAGCAAAAACATTCATAAATGTTTATCAAACAGTTTATAACTCCAAATATTGAAAATCAGAGAATTACTGAAGAAAGATGATTAGAAGGCTATTTATCATCTCCACTAATAGAGAAGGAAAACGGAAGCAGAATGTATTGAGTCATATGGGAGAAAATGCCACAACACCGTAAATGGAAAAGAAATTATTGTGTGCACATTGGCTCGTGACATTAAGCCACATACCTTCCAAAGTTCCTTTTTCGCTTCAGGATCTTCTGCAAACACAAAATCAGAGCCATTGTGCTCTGAAGCTATCTTCTGAACTATAAGTGTTTGTTCACGGGCATATGCTTCTGGTGGACATTGAAACCAAAACAAGTTGGAAATTGTCAAAAAATTTAAAAATTTCCAGCCTAAAAATACTCTAGTATTGAAGTGTAAAGATCTTTAAATGCTACAGAGAGTTTAATGATATTAAAAAATAAATAAATAAATAAAAAAATCTGTAGCAGTATTTACAAGAGTTAGTACCAGCAAGTCAAAAAGGTTTGCTAAAATTAATCCCATTAAGCATCATTATGAACAAATTAGTCAGAATTTTTTTTTTTTTTTTTGTTACAGGAAGTCAACGGGTTAGCTAGATTAATTTAACTCAAACTCTGAATTGCACTAGCTCTTATGCTATATGTCTACCAATAAAATAAAGGAATATCATCTGATAACAGAAACCCACAGAATATTGAGTAGATAGCGGTCGAATCTTCTACAGATTCAAATGTGCACGTCAAATAAATACCTTATGCTCACATTGTAGTTGATACTCAACTTATGAGATGATATGCACAATCCAAACGAATCTTTCTTTATCAGTTTCAGTTTGCTGGTTATTTCATATTTCAGATGTCTCAATGTAAATTGGTGCTACAGTCAAGCAATGAACCATACCCCATTAAAGATGGCTTCTAGATGTTCAGATCCAAAACTGATGGCATGTGATAACCAGAACATGACATGTCTAAAATAAAACCCACGAGACCCTAATATTGTGACTTTGGTTGATTTGTCATTCTCTCTTATTTTGTCAACACGGTATATCTTCCAAAAAAGCATGTGAACTTGTGTTTAATTTTACAAACCTCCCCTCTCCATATAAGTGATCCACCAAACTAGGCACTCGATTATACATGAAACAAGGGTAGACATATATACCTCTACGGGGGACATGGCTAAAAACTAAGATAATAATATACCCCACCAAAGACAAAAAACCAGAAAGCTTCAACAATCTTCTGCATGCCAGTACCCAATTCCCAAGACAGAAACCACCTTCTCCCACAATATTCCGGCATCAGGATAAGTCTACAATATTAAGGCAGTTTGCTGCATGTAGTTATGCTCTTCTTCTTTTTTTACTTTTCTTTTTTAATTTCTTCTTTTCTTTGCTTTTATTTTAACACCAACTCATCAACTACAATTTTTCTTTAACCTTGGCAGCTTCCACATACCGCATACAGACAATTTAATATTTACTACTTTATTAATTTATGTTGATGATAATTCTATGGAGAGTTCTTTAAGATTGATTCTTTATAGTTTATTATATTTATATGTTATTTTTTATTATTTTATAATATTTTATTAATTTTTTGGTTTGTGGTGAGGCTTACGCCTCGAAGGAAAAAATGCCTAATTACCTATTTCCACCTTTTTAAATACTGACCACAACCCTCCAACTTTATCTTACCATAATCCTCCCACGAAAATATTTAATTATTTATCCTCGCTCCCTCCCGATGCAGACCACAAGTTTTCAATCCTTTGCTACCAAACTAGAGCAATGCTATAAGTATAGACTTTTTCTACAGAATTTGTACAATAAGACAACTGTTGAAAAATAGTTTCTGCCAATTCTGTTTAAAAAAATCTGTACTTGCAGATTTTTTTTTTTTTTTTATAGGTAATCAGAGAATTTTATTCCTTAAAAAAGAGTACACGAGAGGTATACAATCACTTTAAGCATGAAAGGAACAACAAGAAATTAAGCAACCCTACAACAGGATTTTTAGTCACTGCATTAAACCAAGTATACAAAGTCAAGTAAAATAATTCTCTTATCTGCTCTGTTGTCTTTGTATGGTTTTCGAAACATCGATCGTTCCGTTCTCTCCATATGCACCATACAATGCATCCCAGGATAAGATTCCATAGAAGTTTGCTATCCTTATCACGAAGTTTTCTTCTCCATGCCCGCACCACGTCTTCAATACGCCTAGGTAGCACCCAATCCATTGATTGAGAAGCCAGAATACTGTTTCAAAGCCAACGCACGCCATCACAATGAATGAATAAATGATCAATCGTCTCTCCATCCTTCTTACACATATAGCACCACTCGGTTACATAAAATCCTTTTCGTTGAAGATTATCCACCGTTGACACTGCCGATTATCCACCGTTGACACTGCCCCCTCATAACTGTCCACAATAGAAATGCTACCCGTGGAGGCAATTTACTTTGCCACACCATCTTCCAAGGTAATGAACTCTCCACAAATCCCAAAAGGGATTGAAAGTATGAGCGGACTGAAAAAATACCATCTCGAGCTAACCTCCACCTGCTACAATCACCCTCTCCAACCCGAATTTGTATCTCATGCAGAGCGGTCAAAAACAACGAATAATCTTCCAATTCCCAATCCTGTAAACCCCTCCCAAAAGTAATATTTCAACTATAGCCCCCATTATGGATGTCAAGTACATCACCCACCATAGCAGCAGGCTCTAACGCAATGTGGTACAATGAGGGAAATCCTTCCTTTAACGGTTGATCGTCACACCAACTATCATCCCAAAATCTAATATCGGTGTCATTTCCCACAACAAAATTTAGTTTGTCCCTAAAATCACTCCATCCCCGTCGGATATACCTCCACAAACTCACCCCATAGGAGCCACGACCCTCAACCGTACACCAACCCCCCTCCATCACACCATACTTTGCCCTAATAATTTCTCTCCAAAAGCTCTCCCTCTTCACTCCAAATCGTCACAACCACTTGCCCAATAAAGCCTTATTATGCAAAACAAGGCTCCTCACTCCAAGCCCCCCATCCTCATAGGCAAACAAATAGTACACCAATTAACCAAATGCATTTTCCTCTCCTCCCCTAACCCTGCCCACAAGAATTCTCTTTGAAGTCTCTCTAATCTATTTGCCACTGCAACCGGAATAGGAAACAATAACAAAAAGTAAGTGGGGAGATTTGAGAGAGTGGATTTAATAAGGGTAAGTCGACCTCCCTTAGAAAGATACATACGCTTCCACCCCGCTAACCTCCTCTCCATTCTTTCCATAATACCATTCCAGATATGTGTACTTTTAAACCGTGCCCCTAGCGGGAGGCCTAAATATCACATGGGCAATTGTGCAATCCTACATCCCAATATGCCAGCCAACTCCACATTAGTGACCTCCCCAACTGGAATAACCTCAGATTTCCCCAAATTGATTTTTAATCCAGACACCACTTCAAAATATAGGAGCAAACAACGTAGGCTCCTGAATTGTTCATCATCCGCATCACATAAGATCAACGTGTCATCTGCAAATAGCAAATGAGACACCTGCAATTGGCCAACCCTAAAGCCCCTTACCAAACCCTCTCCCACAGCTCTTTAAAACATCCTACTGAAACCCTACATCACAATAACAAAAAGCAATGGGGATAGTGGATCTCCTTGCCGCAATCCTCTACTACTCCGAAAATAACCCTCCGGCGTTCCGTTGACCATAACTGAGAACGAAACAATAGAAATACATAACTGAATCCATTTACACCACTTATCCCCGAAGCCGCACCTCCTAAGCATATACAAGAGGAACCCCCAGTTCACATGATCATATACTTTCTGAATATCGAGCTTACATAACATCCCGAGAATTCCCAAACGCAATCTTGAATCAATGCATTCATTTGCTATCAGCACAGAGTCCAAAATCTGGCGACCTTTTACGAAAGTATTCTGAAACTTGGACACTACTTTCCCGAGCACCTCCTTTAATCTATTCGTCAGGACTTTCGCAATAATCTTATACACCCCACAGATTAGGCTAATAGGGCGACAGTCCTTAATGTCAGTCGCTCCCGATTTTTTAGGGATCAGCACAACAAATGTAGCATTAGAACTTTTCTGGAACCTGCCATGTTCAAAAAAATATGTAAACACATCCAAAATTTCCGATCGCACCACCTCCCAACAAGCCTTGTAAAATAAGAACGAGAAACCGTCCGGTCCAGGGGCCTTATCCTCGTTCATGCTAAACACTACCTCCTTGATTTCATCCTCCTTAAAAGGTCGCTCTAACCACCCGGCATCATCCTCCGTGATAGTAGAAAAATCCAATCCTTCCAACTCTGGCCTCCACTCAAACTGCTCCTGATATAGATTCTGATAGAAATTCACCAATTTGCTTCCAATTTCGAGTGGTTCTTCATAAGTTATCCCATCCACTTCCAACACTGTGATCGAGTTTTTGTGCCTATTAGAGTTAGCGATCCTCTTAGTACATTTATCTCCTTCTTTCAACCAATTGATCCTAGATTTCTGACGCCAAGCAATCTCCTCCATCTCCACCAACCTCTCAAATTCTTCCTTTAATGCTCTACGTTTCTCCTTCTCCTCCCCAGCCAACCTTTGACTCTCCTCCCACCTATCCAACTCCTCAATCTCGGAAAGATACTGAATTTTACGATAGTTCACATTGCCCACAACCTCCTCATTCCATTTCTTTAAATCTCTTTTCAAAGACTTCAACTTCTGATCTAACACAAAACTAGGAGACCCCCTGACATCGTAAGATGTCCACCAAGTCTGTACTTTCTCCCTAAAACCTTCAACTTTCAACCACATTTTCTCAAACTTAAAAGGCCTTCGTCCTCCATCCGTCCTGTTCCCAGTTAACATAATGGGGAAATGATCAGAGTACACCCTCCCCAATCTTCTCTGAATGATATTTGAATACTTAGCCTCCCACTCTCCGCATATCAAGAATCTGTCAATACGAGAAAAAGCAGGTTGATCCCAATTGGATGACCAGGTAAAATCTCCTCCAATCATAGGTAAATCCACCAACATATTCTCCCTTATATAGTCTGAAAAATCCTCCATAGCCCCCGTGAGTCTCCCACCATTCGACCTCTCAATAGGAAATCGAACCACATTAAAATCACCTCCTATACACGTTGGTAGATTCCACCAAGCCATCATTCCAACCAGTTCATCCCACAAGCCCCGTCTACTGTCATCAGTATTAGGCCCATAACACCTATGAACATCCACTGAAATCCATCCCCACTGTTTCTGAACGATATCGAAATTGAGAACAATCCAACACTCGCCTCCTCCATCTCAAGCACTCTGGTGTTCCACATGACTAATATGCCTCCAGAAACCCCTGATGATCCCATGAACTGATACCCTACATGCTGTCCCCCCATAAGCTACTAACCACCGCCCTCGAGATGACCTCCATCTTGATTTCTTGTAAGCATACAAGATTCGCTCCCCAGCCCCATAGCAGATGTCGAACACTCATCCTTTTCCCAACTTCATTAAGTCCCCTTACATTCCAGCTAATTATTTGTGGTATCATTTCAACAGTCTAGCATCCCTCCCCATTACTCCATTCTTGGATTCACTACCCTCGCCATCATAATTAACTAACCATTCGAGCCTCTTAAGTTCACGATCGCCCTTTCTTCTTAATTTACCTTCTTGTTTACTCATCTTCTGTCCCCTATTGGCCTCCAAATCCTCAAACAATTGTAGTAATCTGTTTTCGTATCCATCACAAGACACGCCCATTAACTTACTGAAATCCTGGATTTTCTGTAGAACCCAGTTCGAAGGTGGGTGTCTAGTTTCGAATCCAGACAATTCCCCTGTTTCCTCCACCTGTATAACATCACTTTCTATTTCTCCTTTCTTGGCTCCATCTACCCACAACACCAGTGCTTTTTCCGTCCCCAAGTCACTTACCTTCATTGACTTAGAGTTCCTTCAATTATATGTGTTTGCAACCCTTGTTGTTAAAGGTGTCGCGTCGTGCTCTATCACCCCTGACAGTAGATGCCTCGTCCCTTGGTCGCTTAGTAAAAGCCCATCATCGTGTGGGATTGTGTCCATTGCACTCATCATTACTGTCTCCAAGTTCACCATACTCGGCTCCCTTTCTTTAGACAAAGGTACCACCTCTCGGTCTACATCGGTCCCCGCGTCAACCTCAACCATATCCAACCCCTCTAAGACTTCACCTTTGTCATATTTGGATTGTCCCTCGTCCGTTTCAATCCAATCAATAGACTCGCAAGAGATTTCGAGTCTTCCTTGCTTCACTTGATTATGTGTCGATTCCTTCTTATTCAATCCCGATGCTTGTTTTCCAACAGCTGGATACTCATCCATACCTACTCCACACTTGTGACAACATAATAACTTCTTGGGACCCATTTCATACCCACTTCCCACTAGCCTAATCAATTCCTCCAATGCTCCTTTCAATTCCTGGACACGGGCCATAACTTCAGCCTTATGCAAACAACAATCCTGACCTTCGTTTACATTGACACTGTCAGTCATCTCCTTTTGCTGTTGCATCCGCTGGTCAGCCTGCTTCGAGGTATTTAAGTTTGCTGTTACGTCTGCATAAGTCAATCTTTGTCGATTACGTTCATTCACCGGTCGACGTTTGGCCTTACCCCCAGCAACAAAAGAATCAACAACAGTTTGAAATACCCGCGAGATTGATGCCCATCCTTCTCCATTCGCGCCTTCCGGCACCATCACAACTCCTTTCCTACGCCTATCCCCATACTGTGCTATCATCAAGTACCTACCACGGCTATTCGCACAACGCTGTGCCAAGAAGGTTCTTGATGACTCATTGAACCTAGAAATGAATTCCTCATGCTTACTAGTTACCCTCAACTTGTCCACCATATTCACCATCCAAAGTGCACCAAACCTTCCCATGCTAATTGCATTCGATATCTTCGAGCCCCATTCGGTCAATCTAACAGCACCAAGATTGGTAACAGAAATTGCAAACTCCTTCGTCTCAACTCGAAAACGATGATTGAAGGCCACATCAAATTCATCCACAAACTTCCTTCCCTGATTATGTGTGAACAGCTTATTAGACAGCAAAACAGGCATCGTTACTGGACTGGGGACATTCTGCCTGACATTCTGGTTCTCCGACGCCGGCGCGTGCTCCTCCCCGGCCTGCCTCCGGCATCGGAATCGCCTGCACTGTGCTCCGGTCAGGTACATCTGCCTGAATGGTGGTTGGATTTGGTGTGATCTGGGTTTGCATCCCAGATTGGTGTGACTTTATATGTGGCGTGGGGCTGTATGGGTTAGGGTTTCCGTCCGACGCGATATTGCAGTCGCCGGTTAGAGGAATGGTCGGAGGTGTATCGACGATGGGTCGCTGGTCATGGGTTTGGATATTAGGAAGGTCATGGAAGAGAGCACTCTGTACTTGCAGATTAATTCACCAAAATATTGCACATGATCATGTAAAGTCAATATTTGCCACCCCATTCCCTGCGAACCACACACAAAACAAAACACATAGAAAGAGACATGCTACAATAATATTTGTATATATACATACTGTAAATAAATAAAATGACATGGTGGCAAGTTATTGAAAAGTGGGCATGGTTCACCTGTGCCAATAAATTCAAACATCATAGTCGGAACTTCAGGTAAATTTTTTGTATTAGCAAGATTAATCGCCCTCACTTGAACTTCATCCATAAGCTCCACCCTTGAAACCTAGTGGGCATAGCGAAAAAGCGGGGAGAAAATATAATATTATTAACATATTCAATAGCTATCGAAATATCCAAGTCAACTAAATTTAGTGCAGGTCATCCAAATGAGGTCTAGTTCAGTTGCTAATCCATTTTACAATATAGATGAAATGAACATGCAAGCATATCACTGAAAATTCTTTGGTAACAAATAGGCATTAACAAAAAATCCATCATAAGAATTCAACATCCAATATGCTGCAAGCCTGCAAGTGCTTGTTCAACGAGTCAGGGAAAAAAAAGGGGGGGGGGGGGCCATTGTGCCAATAAATGTAAACAGAGTTGTGCCAGCCATTTTGACCCTTCATTCTGCAGCTGTTATTATTCAAAGTTTAAACGAAAATAGAATACAAGTACAAAAGAAATTGGGCAGACACGGGCTAACATAAACCTTGTTATTCGAACTTTACAGTAAATTTTGATCCACATTCTTTCAAAAAAATACATTCTTAAACAGTGATTTGACATCATTTCAACCACACGTTCTAACAATATTATCAAAATAATGTAGCTCAAACAAGGGCTTAATAAACCAATGGAAAGAGTACAAAAGGCCAGAAATCTTTGGCACCAGAAGGTCTCAGAACCATTGGTTCTAGAAACATCTTATGGACTTCCTTTGGTCACAAAATTCGACTGACTCAGAAATAGCTACTTTGTAATTGATTTTCTAGATTAGTATATGGCATATGTTCGTCTTAGAAACATCATATGGCCTTTCTTTGACCACAAAATACAGCTGACTTCAGAATAGTAACATTGAAATGATCTTACATAATTGATTTTCTGGATTAATATATGGCATGTGTTCTTACCCTACTTTGTTCACTGAATCTATACCCGTAGCTTCTTTAGTTAAATAATTTAATTAAACAAACCATGAGATAAACTAAATCTTTTTTGACAAGTGAACACATACTTATAGTTTTATTATTCACAGATAGTTTGTACATCGAACAATAAATAAGAAATTATGGTTTCAATCTATACGATATGAAAATTCAATTAACATCAAATTTGGCAAACGTTACTGACCTGTATGCCAGACAGCATAGTGGCTATAGCAACATCTGCTGCATCTTTAATTGTAGGAAAGTTACACATTGCAACCTGAACCATAATAAAAGCCATAAAATAGGCTGATATTAAGCCTAAAGGAAACTTCAGACCAGACTTCTATGCTACAATTGCAGTAGTCCAAGACAATATCTAACCAAGTGAAATATTTTACTCTTATCATCTCTAGTATACATATACATACCAGCAACGGAAAGATACTAAAGCATGCTTCATTAATAATGCATACCAATAAGAGGCACATTTTTTGTCCTAACAAAGTAGGCTCTAGCATCTTGTGAACTTACCACTAACTAGTAAGTTAATGAAAGCTACACACACATACATGCACCCACCACCAGCATGAGTTTGCAAAAACATTTTAAGAGGCGGAAAAACAATGAATTAAGGTTAAACTAAAGAGGAACACCATTGTGAACGACTAGGGAATACCACTGAGTGTTGTGGAATCTTTTGCAAGCGTAGAGTAACTTCAGTGATAACACCCAATGTTCCTTCACTTCCAATCATCAGACGTGTCAAATCATACCTATGCAGTTTGCAACAAGGCAAGTTAATAGGGTTATTGAGTGAAATTATTTCTTGTTACTCAAAGAAACAAAATTTTGTGATTTAGCACACCAAATTGTTTCCTTTTTATAGTAAGATATCAATAGGCTACACCAAGAATTGGTAATTACAATGAGTAAGGAACTAAAAGATATGAGTAATAGATCATGAAGGACAGCAAAATTCCCCGCCCCGAAACCCCCCGATTCTTTTTATTTTATTTTATGTTTCAAAGGATTTTAAATTCTTGAGTTCAAATAAATGGAAAAAAAGGGATGCTCGACCAAGCTACTCCAATGTTTGAGCCAATAAATTTATCAAGAGTGTTCAATTATTTGCTGCCTCGGCCATCATAAGACTTCGAAAATCAAAATCTTCAGCAAGGCATGCACGGACCTCATGAACCACTATTTGTATCTATACCTAGTTGTGTTCGCGCACGAGATTATTATGCCCTACATGAATATATAGCCCCTGGGGTAGGCCCGTAGAAGAATGCACAAGGCGGCTGTAACATCCAGCGAACTCATGCGGAGAATTTCTCCAAATTGTAATTACACCATGTGAGTGGATTGTTAAGGTAGAGGTAATGGCAACTGAAGCGGGAAAGTCAGACTCGAAGAGCAGAGATTAAAGTAGAGAGCTAACCTAAACACAAGAAAGATCCATTGAAAGAAAGGATTCGAGGAGGAAATGGGAAAAGTAGAAATACTGAGTGTCGCATAATAACGAGGGATAAGACATTTATGTTTCAGACAGGAGGCTTTCCTTTCTGAACCATCAACGGTAAAGGTTATGGAAGAAGCCAAGCCGACATAGGTGCATCACAAGCAGATACAGTCGGAGCAACATATAAAAGCATGATTCTTCCCTTATCAATCTTTAAGATACCTAGTTGTGCCAATTTCCTTAGCTGACAGTACTACTTCTATGCCAAGCGACAACTCGGATCTTATGTTCTTTAGATGCTCAGCTTATCTGCCAGTTGTCGCAAAAGGAAGAGGCTCAAACTCTTATCCATACCTCAACATAAGACATCTAACAGGAGCAAGACTTGTATTTTATAAATTAAATCGTATTTGAAAAAAATAAATATACAATTAAAAAAGGCGGAAAATGGGAATTTATCCCAGCTCCCACCCCATCCCCACCTGCCTTTTGAAAATCCACAACAAAGTGGGATGGTAATGGCCGCCCTTCCTGTTGCTATTCCTAAGCAAATAATACAGAATTATCGGATAATCGGAAATTTGTCCTTTTCTATAATACACAAGCCCTTTTATCTGTGAAAATATATATAAACCCAATAACTCCAGATATTCCTTTTTGTTTTAATTGCATAAAGCAGCACAAGGCTGTAATAAAGCTACATAGGAACAAACGAGGTCCTCTCTCAACCCTTAATATATTGAAAATAAGAAGTTACAAAGGACAATGATATTGGCCGAAGGTCTAAAAAGTAAAGGATGGGACTTATTCTAGTCAAAAAGAAAATGGGACATAAATCAAATTAAACTTTTTGCTGCCATGAAAGACCAAAAGGTTGTTGACAATTACCCATGCAAATTTCAAGCATAAGGAAGCTAGAGAAATGTTTTAATATGCCATCAGAAATAAATGTGCTAAACATATGGAGAACGAGCTAAAACTAAATATAGATGATAGATGATAGATGACCTCATCACTAAACATGGCTTCATAATAATCTCAGACTTTTTACTATTCTAAGATAAGGCCAAACCAATACATTTGCAATAATGCATACTGGTAGTGGAAATGCTACAAGTTCATGCTAAATAGATATTGTCGTTTATCGACATGATGTAGGCAAATATATTGTCATTATGTAGATAACAAATGTTTGTGACTGAAAACCCACTGCCAAGCATCCAACAAACATGACATCTTATGCAGAGGGGAGCTCCCAAACTGAAAGTACTAAACATCTGCATATGAATACAAGAATTGCTTTCAAAAAGCATCTTGCAATGGCTAACGAAGATCATAAGAATGACATGAGCATTTAATTGTTTTACTTTTCATTTCACAAATGGCCAAGACATCTAGATAACGTGGTAAGAAAAACCCACATCTCTAAACTGCAAAATAATCAATAATGGATATTCAGAAAAAATCGATTTGTATGTTAGGTAATCTATAGCTTCCTCTTCCTCCCAATCCTACCCATCAACGTTATAGATAAAATGATAGAAAATTAGAAACCAAATGCAGGTCTTATGCTTGTTAGAAAATGCTTTAATGCATTATCTTCACAGTAAGTTAAGATGTTTAACACAACTTCTAAAGATAAAGATTATTCAGGACAATGAGTGTAATAGACATAGAAAAAGGAAACACACCCAGCAGCACTTTTCCTTGCACGTGAACCAGTCTTGATGATGTCTCCATTGGCTAGAACAACCTGCAAGAAGGAAACATAATTAATGTAATGTACGCCACTGATCAAACAAACATTTGATGAGGTTATAACAAACCTTGAGATTGATGACATTATCGCGCATAGTTCCATACCTACATGTTAGAAATAGAAATAATTAACTAAACTCAATTATGAATGAAGTAGTATTCTCACAAAATTTAGATTTTTTCTGTCTCTACGCATAGGCAAGGGCATTTTATGTCAGCCATTCGAATAAGTCAAAAGAAGCGTGCAGGGCCATCGTACAACAATTTGACTAGGTACACAGAAAAGTAGGAATGCTCATAATTATATAATATAGAAACTCGGTCATGGCAGTTTGAGCAAAACTATAATGCCACCGTATGGGACTTTAGCCGTAATTGGAAAACTTAAAATGGTGCCTATTTAGTTTCACGTAATTATTTTCAATAACTGACAAATCAGAATGAATTACACAGAATAAATATCATGTGTTTTATAAAATTAAAACGGAGGTATGTAACCTGACAGCTAAAGAACCCGAACAACGTGTAGCGCACATTCCCCCTATTGTTGCTCCAGGACCTGCCAATTAGATAGCTTTTATTACATAGTAATGCAATATAAAAGTGATAAATCTCTATACAATCTATTACGCAATTAAATCTGAGCCAATCTGTACAGTTAAGAAATAACTTTATTCAGGAGTAATTTACTATTTTCCTTTCTCTCCAGGACAAAAACCAGTCAAATGACTAGCTGGCAAGCAGGTTGTTTGACCAAAAAAGAAAATAGATATTTTATCCACACATTCTAGCTCTCATATGATCTAATCCATGAACAGAAAAGTTGGCAATTGTACAGGGAAGAAGATTCCTCCACACTCAGTAAATTACTTTCATGTCTGACTTTGAACACGCCCAAAGATTTCGATGGTCAAGCATGAAAACTTGCCTGAGAGCTCAAGGAAAGAAAATACTACATTCAACCAAGATAGGAACAAAGACGATGTATATCTTCATTTGCTAAGAGAAATGCGCCTTACGCTTAGGGAGGAGCAGGAATTGAGAGAAATTCACCCAGCTTTTCCAGCATTGTTCCAACTAGATCACTGAAAGGTCTAAAATCCATTAAGTGTCACCCGCTTCTTGTGAACGCTTTTTCATTAAGCATTATTACAAGTAGTTTTCAAGTCCTATCAGCAAACTTCATCACAGACACGAGTTCTTTTCGCCATTCCAGCACTACGTCCGTTGAAAAGTCTCACGAAATATCTTTTGCAACCATGTCAAACAAGCTTATATATATAATCATGTATACTTATCAAACACAATCTCTAGAACATGACACTTATGTCAAGTTACTTTTTGAAATTTCTATTTTCAAGAATTGAACCGTCAAGTCGATTACCATGCTGTGACTGTCTTATGCTTTCACATATCAAATCTTTGCATGCCTTCATATAAATAAGACCTCTTAGTTTGAAAAGTATAAATTTACTTGATATCGAGCATTTTCTCTTTAAAAAATAAATAAACCTCATCTAAACACAAAAATTATTTTGAAGATGTAAACATAGAAGATCGACCGATGAAGATCAAAAGAAGCTAACCTGGATCAAGAGGAAAGAACAGACCATAAGGCTCCAGGTATTCATTAAGTTCCATCCACCCAATCCCAGGTTCAACAACCACATCCATATCATCAAGATTTAATGATTTGATGTTCTACAATTTAAAAACTTCGCTAGGTAAGGGATTAGGAAAATTTTCCAACTACACATACAACTAGTACATGCAATTGTTGAAAAACCTCCTAGTGTAGTTAGTTACATGGAAATCAAAACAAATAGGTTAAATTATTGTAAAAATAAGTTATGAAACAGATATAGCAAGAAAAATTGAAACTTTGAAGACAAAAGAAATGAGATTAAAATCAAGAACTGTAGAGAAAAGACATCTAAAGCATGATACCCTGAGAAGGAGTGCTACGAAAAGTAAGCCTAGTTGAATCAGTGAAAAAGAAAATTAGGGGTTTGCTGATCCAGTTTGTTAGGTAATCTTTGTATACACCTATCCCCATGTTCTTTTGGACTATTCTGCACTAACTTTACATGGACAGAAAATTTATAAAGAAAATTATTTGAGCTAAATTCTGTTACAATTACATTTCTGATTTTTTTTTAGGAAAAAAAAAGGGGGGAAAGGAAAAGGAAAAGGAATTTGTACTACATACAGGACAGTGTGGTTTTATTGTCCACCTTGCAAAGATAATATATTCTTTTTGTGATTTAGCTCTTTTAGACACATGACATATGAAAACACAAGGGTAGAGAGCAGTGTCTGATTGATTTTTATACTATGATTTTGGGTAACTGTCTATTTGGGAAGTAGTAATCCTTCACTTCTCTACTTCTTACCTACTAAGAATTAAAAAAAATTTATCCACATAATGAAAGCGTGATTGACATTATACTGTTTCTCGTTAACCAAAGAATGAAGTAAGATCGTGACGATCGAGAAAAATGATTCTCTAAAGTTAAAAGGAAAAGAAGATCCTCTTGTAAATATGAGACATTCAGAAATCAACTCTAATATAAACAATTCATAGTTGTACTCGTACTTTCATTTGTGACATGTCAATACAAACACCACCATTAGGGGATAACGTGTGGCCCTCAAGTGATGTAGCTCCGGCAAAGGGTATAATAGGGACCTGATAACAACAAATTAGTAATTTAGAGAAATAAAAATCAAATGAGGAAATGCTTGCCTAAAGTTACCAAACCAGTTTGGATTAAATTGAAGACTCATAACTTCCTCCAACATTAATAATCAAAATATGCTCCTTTTTCACAATCATTTTTAAGAATCGCTACAGTCTTAAAGAATAAAAATTACTCTTGCGACTAAAGAACTAATTTAAAAATTTTGAACAGAGTAGAAGCTCGGACCTTGTGCTTATTACAAGATTTCACTATCTTGGACACCTCGTCTTGAGACCTGCATTTTGAAGAGAAAGGCTGGAACAATGTACATGATGTAATGCAGCTAGAAGCTATGGAAACAAGTTGTAGCTCTTCAATATCATTTACAGTCCACTTCTAAATCATTTACAGAGTAAGATTCTACATTCACATGAGTAAGATTCTACATTCACATGGTCTTTTTCTTTTCAGTATCTATTATAAAAGAAACTACAAGATGAACTACATACTGCAGATCAAAGAACAGGGGCTTCATGATATCAAACAAAGACCCAATGTTAGATAAAATACAATAATTAGTAAACCATTTTCCAGGCTCTCTTCATTCTTTCTTGAAATTAAAATTCATTACTTTATAGAACCATTCAATCGCTATAAGAAACAAATAAAATCAACGATAGAGCCCAGCTTCCCCAAAACTACTGTCTGCATCTATTATCATTGCCATTATTTTAGCCCCTCAACAGACAACATTACACTTGGTCTTAAAATTCAAAAATACTCATAGGAAAATTACATTTACCCTTCCTCTCCCAAGAGAGAGACGCCAGGACTCTTTGTTGGACCCACAATATGTGCCCCCAAACTTACATAACCCACATGCCAATCACATACCTTGAATCCACCAGTTATTATCATAACGTTCTTGCAACCAAAAGAGCATTAACTCGCTCAAGCAGAAGGCGCCATATGAGAGCACCAATCACAAGAAAATGTTCTCTTCAACATTTAAAAAATTTCCCCAATACTTCAACACACATCCAATTATCATTTGATAGCATTTCTTGACAAAACAACAAAAAGAACAGGAAAAAAATAAAATAAAATTGTCTGACTGCACGTTCCTTGGGGGGGAAAGGAGAGCATCACACACATCAAGCCACATAAATGCTTGGTTAATTAGCAACTAATAAGCAGATCTGCAAATTTCTGAGGGTACAAGAACCAATCTCACCTTGGAAAAACAACCACGTCAGGGATGTTCACCGTTTTATGAAAGCTATTCTGCGGCTTTCCATAAGAGTATCTATCATCGTAGTCCACTGTCATGTTATCCTATATTCTAAATAACATTATAATCCACCCAAAGTAAACAAAACATAGCTAATTAACAATTTTCTGTCTTGTTTGTTTCAACTCTCAATGCAGGAAAGAAATTAAAAAGTCAAAACTTTGTATTTCGCAAAGAATCAAGTGTAGAAGAAACTGGAAAGTCACGCAACGCGGAAAAAATGCCAGAACATTATTGTAGAAAACAATCAATAGTTGATCAATATCACAATGGAAAATTAGCTCAAATGCTTGCTTAAAGTGTGAAAAAATGGTACCTCACAGATGACCTTTAATTCCTCAATAAGCCCTTGTGGAACTTTTGTATGTGTACCTTTGACCAGATAATCAGTACTGCCATTGCCACCAATGCTCTTACCTCTAAAACTCAAAGGAATTACAAAAGATTTAGAAAGGGGAAAAAAAATTCTACTTAGGTAATCACCATTCAAATTTCTGAAAAAAAGTAATTTTCCATTATGCGAGTTCTTGAAAACTACAAAGGTTCCAACTTCATACTTCCAATTAATTTTTTTTAATAATGCGATTAAGCTTTTGTAATATGCATCTAATCACATTAAAATAAATAAATAAAATCTACCAACATTAGAACCCAAAAACAAAACCAACTCATATATTATGGGAGAAAAAAATTCAATCTCGTTCCCTTATATACATTTGTGCATAGAATCGTCTTCAAGCAAAGCAGAGAAAAGACTCCCAACTTCAAAACTTCCAAACCTTAATCATTCCATCAAAAATTCAAAATAAACAGAAAATACTCAAGAAACTGAAAAGGAGTGTAATAGTTACATTTGATTAATATTTGGGGCACTGCAAATAAAAGAAAATCATGTATTTTAAAACAAACTTATTCATTTATAAGCAAACTTTTTTAGCCTAGCCAAAGTGCTCTAAAACCTCCTAACAGAACAACGAGATATGTATGATCAGTACTTCGGGCATAGTCTAGTGGTGCAAAACACAAAGGTGAGGTTATCTCACGTCTTGTTGGCAGTCGCCGTGTAGGATTTCGATTTCTGAAATATGGAATTAGACTCCTTGTAGCCGCAGCGTACAAGCAACTCTTGTTCCCTGGCCTGTTGGAACACATCCCGCGATTTACCTCCATCACAAAACTCTAAAGGCGGGACGGTGGGAGCCTTCAAGGTTGGAGTTACATAAGAACAAAAAAATCTCATCTTGTTTCCCTAGTCGAATTTTTGTCAGAAAAATTCATGAATTTTAGGGGGTGTATTCAAGTGTGAATTCAGACTTTTATAATTTCTATTTATTTTCTTCTTAAATTATAAAATTGTATACGAAAATTTTATAATTAATTTAAATATATCAATTTTTATTTATTTTTAGAAGTATATTATATTAATCATATTGAATATTAAATTTATTGTTTATCATATATATGTATAATTTTGATTATTATTTGTTTAATTAAGATCTTAAATTTTTATTCTTTTTAAAATAATTTTTTATTATATGAGTAGGTGAAGGGAAAGAAAAATTGTGAAAACTATCATCTCCTATGTGAGAATTTCACATTACTATGTATATACATATCATTACACCTCCTTATATGGAAAGGAGTCCACATATAATAGAATATTCGTGGACCCCTTTATATGAGAGGAGTGTAACTCATTATGTATATCATAAATTCTACTTCAAATAAAAGTTTTCAAACAGAAGTAAGTCTTTTGAATTATACAGAAGTTTATAAACGATTTAAAATGAAAAGCTATAGAAATCTACTCGTCATTAATTCTATATAAATCAATGAAAAATCCACAAAGCGACCTTTGAAAAAAAATCCATTTAAAATCCAATTGAATACACCCTATCAAGCAAAACAAAGCAAAGAGTCCAACTTCGACACTTCCAAACGTAACCAATCCATCAAAAATTCAAAAGAAATTTTAAAAAACTGAGAAGGGGTGTGATAGACTGTTAGTTACATTTGATTAATATTTGGGGCATCACAAAATGATGAGCCGTCGTTGTTCCGTAATTGCAAAGCAATTGAAGCAACAGAGGCAGCCGCTGCCATGACAAGCCATGAGGATTGAAATGGTTTTTCCCCGTTTTCTGAGCCCGCGATGAGAGTTCTTGCTAGACGGGTGTTCTGCTTATGCACTAATGAGTTTTTTAAATTGGAATATATGGGTTTCGAAGAAGAACGCAGGCGAGAGAGCCAGGAAGATAAAGCCATGGCTGAAAAGAAAAGGATAGCAGGAAAGCTTTGTTGGCAAACAGAGGAGGATAAATGATCCCTAGCATATTTATTTTTCTGTTTAAATAACTAAAAGCTTGTGTGGCCCCATCCTCATCCAATTTTTTCAGCCGATTTCAAACAATTGTGGGCCCAGGCAAGACAACATTCCATGCCAGATAGCCTTGTGTACATTTCCAATGAGCATCTAAGGGCAAAATAGGCAGAAAAGTCTCAACGCATCATTCAATTTGCATCTGTTCTGACACTATTCTGACTTCTTGTATCACAACTGTAGGAAAATGTGATTTGATTAGGTGTTTGGTAAGAATTTTGTTAATTGATTTTTTGACCGTTGGAGATAAAATAGGGGCTCGTTTGGTAGGGATTTTGAGAATTGATTTTTTGAACGTTAGAAGAAATGTGGGGTCCACATGTGAAAGAAGAAGTCAAAAATTACGGCTTGAATAGTAAAATAACGATCAAAAAATCAATTTTTTGGAGCAAAAAATTCCTACCAAACAGGGCCTAGGTCTTATATGGAAGAGAAGAAATAAAAAATGACGATTGAAATAATGAAATAACTGTCAAAAAATTAATTTTAATTTAATTTTAAGCTGTACCGAACATGCTCTCAAAAGAACTCATTGGGCGTCGCCCCCCTCTTGTAAAAGGGGTGTCGTCGGTGTACATATAGCAAAATTCAAATGAGTGCCAAACGAGAACTAAATATTTGGTAAGCTCTAGAATAAATAAATATTTTCTTATCTTACCCTGTAAGTCATATAGAAATAATAAATTTATTTGTTTAGACGGTAACATAAAATATAATTCAAAATTAATTTTCTTTTTACTAATAAAATTTGATAAGTACATTTTGTGAACTTATTCGGACCATATTACTAAGTTTTTATATCATCAAAGTATTACTTTTTATTTAACTTAGGTTAATTTCCTTTCTGATTTCGACTCGTTTGAAGCAATTAGAGAAGAAATAATGATCAATTGGCTATTGGATGCAATTTTTGGATCAAATTCTACACTTTAAAAATTTAAGGACTGCACAATTAATTGAATTCAAGAATTAAAGTGCATTACTTGAAAGAATTGTAGCATTGAAGATAATCAATGCATTGGAATTAAAACGCGACTCGACTTCCACTTGGACTTGCAATTGGAATAAAATTCAATCAATTTGCTTGCAATTGAAAAAAGACTCAAGAAAAGTGGACTGAACTTATTCATTTTTTGTTTTATCCAAGGAATTTAACTTCAAATTGGTGACAACGACATTGGTAGCTGTGGAAAAAAGGGGAAAAAGGAAGGCTGGCATTGGACTTCTCAATTAACTAAGGCGCCGGCTGCTTAGTGGAATAATGAGGAAATTTAGGGTATGTTCGACAGTGATTATGAAAATTGATTTTTTGATTGTTAGAGAGAAAAATATGTTTCATTTCTGAGTGAAAAAGTCAAAAATAAGGGCTGAAATAGTGAAATAACGGTCGAAAAATTAATTTTTTAGGATGAAAAATTGCTACTAAACGAGGGCTTTTGGTTTAGATTAAAATCTAATTTTAACATAAGTTAAAGTCAAACAATCAATATTAACCACATCTTTCATGGTTCCCACAACTTTTTAACCATATATTTCAAAAACTTTTATTATGACCTACTAAAAAAAAGCTAATTTTAATCCCCATCAAACATCCTCTAAATTAGAGAAACATGGCAGAAATTGATTAAAAAAGGGGACGCCTATTGGGACAAAACGGAAATTCAGCGAAAGAAAAGAATTTACATACATACATGCATAGAGAGGCAGAAAAGGGCATACGCATATGATAAGTGTATTTTATACACTTATTCGGTACCTTAAATAGCAATATTTGATAGTTCTTTCGACAAATTATATTCTAAATGTTTGGATTTTATGTTTAATAGGTAAAATTTTATGAAGAAAAAGGATTTGAAGGAAAGAAGAAAAATTAGGCAAAATTGGATAAAAGAGCTAAATTATATGAAATCCAAAGTTCGGGGACTAAAATGCAAATATCTAAAAATTGTGTCGAACCTCAAGATGAAGATTCGAGAGCGTTAGGAGTCAATTGGATGAAGAAAGATGTCAAAGGGATCAAATTTAGGCAAAATATGATCACAAATCAATTTCCAACCAAAAAGCTATGCTCTGGAATTTCAGGCTCACATTAAGACCCGTTTTTGACATAAAAAACGATCGAATCGGAGAATGATGTCTAAAGCAAAGTTGTAGCCATTTGAGTTAGCTTTCCAATGCATCTTGAATCGCCTCAATTGAATATTGAAAGAGAAAGTTATGCTAAAAATACTAAAAAAGGTACGTGCTGTCTGATCGAAAAGTGACGCCGCGGCGCCACTTCAGAGCGCTGCGGTTCCCCATCCCAGATGTGTTAGGGCGCAATTTCGGCTTGTTTTTGAGTCCATATAAAAACCCTATTCTTCCAACATGGCAAGGGACCTATAAATACAAAAATTCTCACACTTTAAGGGTCCCACACATTCTAGAGGCAAAAACACTTCTCAAGAGAAAGAGTGAGAGATTCAAAGGGAGAAGACAGCGCCAAATTCATCGTGTGAAGCATAAATTGAAAGAAAGAGGAACTGTTGGTGCAAGATTCACTCTTTCTTATACATATTCTTATTCAAAATTCGCTGATGTATTCTAAAACAATTTGTTGTTGCTCTTCTTTTATTATGCGTAGCTAAATCCATTGTTAGGGTGAATAATGTAACCAATTTGAGATCATTTATATTTTCTTATTAAGATTCTTGGTTTTTAATTCTTCCATGTGTTGATTTTTGCTATGGATTGATTGCATTAAATTATCTAATCAATAATTTGATGAATTTTGTGAATCGTTTACGAATAGAGATTTGAGTTTAGGATTTAGATCATGTAGTAAAATCCATTACATTGGTATAACAAGTTGAGATACATATGCCATTTATTACGGTCATAATTGAATTCCTAGGACAAAGAATTGTTTAACTAAGTTAAATCTGTATAGAGATATGGAATTTAATTAGTTGAATGGGGTCAATGAGAATTCGAGAGGGGCAAATTGAATACAATAGGAGAATTCGACCGAGCACTACAATAGAATTAAGACTTAATTTGAGATGTAAAAGTGATCAATGGGTAAAATTATTCTGCCCTAACGTCCTTTACTTATTTGATTTTACGAAAAAAATTGTGTGAACATTTATTTATTTTCTAAAATTTAGATTAAAACTCAAATTATACAACTTTTAATCTATTTCCATCAAATAGAAGTTAAAGAAAAAATTGAATTCAGTGCTAGAAAATAGTCCTCGTACGAACGATAATTCGAACTCAAAAAATTCACTTTACTACTTGTTACGATCCATCCACTTGCGGGATAAAATTGACAACAAGTTTTTGGCGCCATTGCCAGGGACTATTTCTTTTAGTCTTAATTTATTTTTATTTTTAACTATTATTTGATTTGTTTATTTTCTTTTATTTATAGAAAATTGTGTTTATTGTATGCTCCGTGCCCAAGGGGAAGATCTTGAACCATTTGATTATGAGATAGAACGTACCTTCAGACGAAGACGCAAAGAACACAAACAAAAATAGCAACATCAAATGGCTGAAAATCAACAAATTCCTATCCCCATTTAGTCGATTGGACAAATGACCGCAAGAGTAGTGGCACCAACGGAACAACAGAATGAGCGAGGGGAAATAAATGAAGGTGATTTGCCAGTATCAATATTCCTGACACCTATAGCAGCACTCATGCGTTCCAGTATCGTATATCCAGATTTTCGGGTGAATAACTTTCAGATCAGGCCAAATTAGATTAACTTGATGAGCAATACTCTCCAATTCTACGGGTTACCTCATGAAATTTCGAACACTCATATCTCCAGATTTCTCAGGAACTGTGAGAACTTCCATGCTCCGGGAGTCAATGAAGATACTATTAAACTACGATTATTGCTATTTACATTGAGAGATGCTGCATTGGAGTGGTTATATGTGGAGCCTCATGGGAGCATTACTACATGGGAAGAACTGACCAAAAAATTCTGCAACAAATTCTTCCCACCAGCCAAAGTAATTAAAATCAAATTGGAAATTCAAACTTTTCAACAGAAGGAGGGAGAAAGCTATCACGAGGTATGGAATAGATTTAATGAGCTGATGAGAAAATGTCCAAACCATGGAATTACTCTAGGAAACCAAGTGCAGTACTTCTACACAGACTTACACCACTGTCAAAATCTCAAGTTGATACCTCTGCTGGTGGATCAATCATAGGGAAATCAGTACAACAAATCATGGACCTATTTGAGTTAATTGCCACCACACATTCAATGTTCTCATCAGAAAGAGTAGTACCACCAAAGGCAACAGGAATGTATGAATTAGACAGCGCAACATCTGCCAATGCACAGATAGCAGCTTTAACAAAACAGGTAGAGTTACTTGTAAAATTGCAAACACATGGAGCAAATGTAATGTGGCCAGTTCAACATGTGAGAATTGTGGGAGAAATCACAATACAGAAAGCTCCATGATGCTCACTTCTTCAGAGGAACAAGTAAACTTTATTCAAAATAACTCCAGTAATTTCAACTCATATGGGAACAATTTCCAGAAGATGACCACATTTGGGAGAGATGTTTCAACAATATGTGCAGAAAGCGGACAAGATGTTCCAACAAATTGACATGAACTTTCAAAATCACCAGGCATCCATAAAAAAACTGGAGACACAAATTGGTCAGATAGCACAACAACTTGCAGAACGTCCACAAGGGACTTTGCCAGGCAATACAATGATAAATCCTAAGGAACAGGCGATGGCAATTAAAATAGTGGAGAACGATCTACCCACGGCCCCCGTGAAAGTTAAAGCGTATGTAGCTCCACTTCCGTTTTCCTAAAGACTTCGAAAGAAGTCGACAGAGCAAAATATTCATGTCATAAATACAAAGAGTGAGGTACAATCGCCAGAGATCACTATAGAGAGACCCAAAAGAA